TTCCTGAGCACTATGCGATGGTGCCTGTGTTAGTTTCCTGGGGCTCCTATAAGACATGACCACACACTGCACCTGCTGAAATGACCGATTGTTTTTATTATACCATCATTGTCTTGGTGACCATTTAGAGTTTTTTTGGTACCCAAGCCCAAGATAGGCCACTCACTCTACTGGCCAGCAGTGAGGGATCCGTTCTTGCAGCACTGGAAGAGGGGTTCGCTTTTAATACAGAATTCTGATGAGCTGGCTTCAATCCCAGGGGAAAGCACAGTGCTTAATTTTAAGAAAGTTATTACACTGCTGTTAACAGTGGTTATATTACCTTGATAAGCTTGCTGTCAGGATGAAATCCACCACTCCAGCCCCCTGATTGCAAGGGGCAACTAAATCTGAAAAGGAAATTCGACTTCAGATGGGACGCCCCAACATTTCCCCCACCTTTCTCCCTCTATCACACACTCCACACATCTTATTTTTAACATTTAGTTGGTTTTTGTAAGTCAAAAATCCTCGGGAATATTTACAATCTTTATTTGAAAATTCTAGACTTAACGATAGCAAATGATATGTCGACCAAATCAAATATGCAGACTCGGTCAAACCTCAGATGACATCACTGTGGTTCTCGGCCACTGGGCAGCACCACCTGTCAATTTTTCAAGCCGTTAGAACATTGACAATAATTTGCCTACCTTTGAAAAAATAGAAGGAACAGGGCAGCTATTTTTAGAAGTAATCATTTCACAGATATCAGGGAACCAGACAGCACACCAAATCAATTGAGTCACACGGTGGGGGGGGGGGGCCTCTCTACCAGAGAAAACAGATTAAGTCATTTGACCCAGTTTTTATGAGAGTGCTTCGTAAGCAATCTTCGAGTTCTAGAATGTTTTATCAAATCTAGTTCTAAAAACGCTATTTTAATTTGAATTTTGGGAGAAGGATTAAGAAGTTTAAATGCGCCCAATTAATCGCATAAAACACGCCAAGTATCCCAAATGAATCTTGGAGATCGTTAAGTAACAGGAAGTACTTTTAAAATGAAATTTAAATGCATATTCATCTCTCTTTTCAATAGAATGATTCACGTTCTGGACCAGGACAACAAGGCTGCCTCTGACTAAGAGAAAGGAGTACAGCTTCAAAGTTTACACGATGAAAAAAAAAGAAGAAGAAAAAGGAAACAAACAAAAAACAGTCACATCTCTGGTCTTTCAAAAATAGTTTTAGGATCAGATAAATTTTGTCAGCGTTTTAAACCATCTGTTCATTATGTGCCCAGAACCACACAAAGCTTGATGTTCAAACGTGCTCAGCTGTTCTGAATGTTACGCTAAGAAACACGGCCATTTTGCTCATAGACACGCGGTGTTAACTGCTGTTCAGAAAGGCTGCCCAGACCAATGCCTTTTGACGCACTCATCATTTCCTCCCACGATCTGGTGTCTTGGTACAGAAATCCAGAACGACAGTCCGCTCCCTCATGCCTGTCCCAGAATCGGCACAGCCTAGGACGGGAACAAAGCTGGATCCTTTTGATGATGGCCACTGTACTTGTGCTGTCCAGAACCATGAAAGAATAGATTTCTGCTGTTTTCAGTCACCAAGATTATGTTAATTTGTTACAGCAGCTGTAGGATACTAATCACCCTCTACCCCAACCTAATTTTTCAAAGGGACAATCTCCCACCCTATAGGCTGGGCGAACTTGGACATCGAGATGCATGTGCACGATGAAATAAATGGTTAAGAGAATCACAGTTGATTACAATGTTCCATTTCCCAAAATGTAGAGGCTTATGGTATTACTAATACCAAGGAGTCAGAAGACAGGTTTCTGAGGGAAAACTGACCATTAGGAGCAGCCCTAGCAACGGGCCCAAAGCTCTGGAATATGCAGCTTAACAGACACCGTCTCTAAGGAGCCCACGAGCTAGTGCAGAGGCTGGCCTGCGAGCAGCCAGGAAAAGATGAATGATGCCACAGCACACTGCAGCACAGAGGCGGCGGCGGCTGATGCTCAGAGGAGCAATCGGATCTGCTGGAAAAAGATGTCCTAGCAAGTGCTGGTCCCAGCCATGTGTGGCTGGAGCTGGCGAAGGGGAGGAGCAGAGAGATGTCACCTCAACAGCACTTTATAGGCCACACGCCAGGCCAGATTTGCATTTAGGAAGATGATTTGCTTGGAAACAGACTGACGGGAAGGGAAGGAGCAAACCCGAGGCAGGAACTTGGTCGAGTGGCTGCAGTGATTGGCCAGACACCCCAGAGGCCAGGAGCAGCAGGAGGGCTGGTGAGGAGACTTAAGGGGACATTTGAAAGGCGCACTGTTAGGACTTAGTGAAAGCTAGGTGCAGAAATTGAGAGACGGAAGTCTAAAATAACCATGGAGTTTCTGGCTTGGGTGGCAGGGCAGACGGCAGCCCCATGTAGGAGGACAGGGAGCGGGAAGGAAAGGGGAACATAGCAGGGAAGTAGGAAGTTCCGCTGTGCACTTGCTGAGTGCACAGCTACGGGTTATCCAGATGGGCTCTCTGAACGAGAAGCTGGCTGTAGAGATGTTGTGAACTGTGTGTAAATAAATATGCACGTCAATGATGCTGGCGGTCCTGCTGGGATGCATCCGTGCATGGAACACATTCAATAAAAATATGTTGTGCTCCAGCTATAGGCCAGGCACCAGGCTAGGCGCTGGGCAGGCAGAGGGGACAGGAAGCCCGCGGGGAGATGAGAGGGTGCTGGCAGGATGGGGTGATTGAACAGGGATTGCGAGTTGCTGCCCCCACATTTTACTGTGTGACGACCCTGCTCACACCGAGTCTGGACATTTAGACGAGAACCTACTTTAGGATTCCTGTCCCAAGTTCCCACTATGCTTTTCCCGGGGCACATTTTAAAACAACCACTTGGAGTCGAGCCCATGAAAAGTTAGCGACCTCAGCTCCTACGACCTTGTAACAGGAGCTCTACCCTGCTCGCTCACTCACTCTCTCTGTCTCTGTCTCTCTCCCTGTCTCTGTCTCTATCTGCACAGCAACTGAGAGCCACCAAAAACTTAAGCTACGGAGTAGCATGATACCATTTACTTTTTAAAAAGATGACTGCAATACGAGGCTGGGTTAAAGGGGAAAACCCAGAAGCCGGAAGAGCAGTTAGCAAGTTTTTAGGGTGGAAAGTGGTTATCAGAGGAACATTCAGGAGGTGGATGGACCGTATTTAGTGATGGGCTGAGCCCCGGAGATCAAAGAAAGGCAAAGATGGCGGCACCCAGGTCCTCGGCCCAGGCGGCTGGACTAATCTCCCAGGGATGGCTGGGGCTGCACTGGGTGAGTGTGACGAGAAGGCTGAGTCAGAACCTTGGGAAACCCACGTGTGGGGCCGGGCACAGGCAGAGGTGCCAACGCAGGCGGCCGACAACCGGGGGCGGACATGAGGGAAAAAATCCAGGTGACTAAGGCGGCACTGAAGCAAGCAGGTTTGAAAAGGGAATTGGTAAAGTCACACATCAGAGGCCAACTGAAAGAGGGAAAGGTTTCTGCTGGGTTTAGGAGTCAGGTTTAGTGACGTGGTGAGGCCTGATCACATGGTTTAAAGTCCAGGCACCAAGGTGCATCGTCCTGAGGCAGCTAGAAAGGGAAACAGGTGGAGGCAGGCGGTGTGTGGTAGAGTACGCCGGGAACTGGAACACCTGGCTGACAGCGCTGCCTCTCGCTGCACAGCTCCTCATTGATCTCCTCACCTGTGGACTTAACTACGTGAACCCGCCCGGCCTACCTGCGGGGAACCCTAAGCCCAAGGCCCTTTGAAAGACTGTCACTGCTGCACTGTGCTTTAAGTGCCAAGCCCCTTTTTGATCTACAATTCAGTTTAAAATATAGACACTTTTTAGTTTTAAATATTTGCAGAAAATTTTTAGGTGCGAGATTCTTCCTTCGAAAGAGTACTCTTAAAATTAATGAAACTGTAACGACTGATAATAGAGCTGTTAAATTTGGGACGAGGTTTAGGTTTTTCTCATCCTAATTCAAGATCCTCAAACTTGTCATGAATTATTTTACCTAGGGTCACGCACAGAAACTTTTAAAAATTTATTTGAAAATGAAGAGATATTTGAAAAATGTTAAACGCGACGTTCTATTTAGCTTGTCTAACAGAACCTTTCTTTAGTGTTTGCAGTGTGGCATTTCTGATACTAATTTTCCGGTTTTGATTCAAAGTGAGGTGAGCTTTCTAATTAATGAACTTGTAATATTCATGCAAGAGATCTAGTCTACGAGATAGCAAACGAGAATTGCTATTGGAGAAAATCGGTCAACGCGCTGCCCCCTAGCAGGGAAAGTCTTCTCTGTGGGCACGCCGCTGACAAGCAGGTGCCCTGAGGTGGACGATCAGAGCAGCCACCCCCAGTGCGTTCCAGCCGGAGGAACCTGGAAGCCCTGTGCCACTATCAAGCGGTCCTCCGTGATCGGACCGATTCGGTGGCAGAAAATGATAGCGCTCAAGGTCAGTCCTCGGCAGACCCGCAGCCCGCGCACGCCCACGCGACCCGACGCAGAGCCACCACGAGCCGAGCGTCGCGGGCGCCGGG